TCAAATGTATATTCTTCATTCTATTTCATTTTTAATTCAGCAAACAATTTTTAAGATTATCGAGCCTACATCCCACATAACTTAATTATTATATTAAATTTAATACTTTAACAAATATTTTTAATGTTAACCCTAATATTTTATTATTTGTTTATTTTAAACATTCAAATAAGTATTCTCCATATTGATATAAATAATCAAACTATTATTTACTATCTCTACTTAAAAACATTAACACTATTATATAAAAATCTCTTATTTAGACTTTCTCATTTATTTATAATAGTTAAAACCATTCAATTATTTAAGTTTCATTTATTTCTAAAAAAAATTCATCCATCACATTTGCAAATTGAAAATATGACAATTAAACTAAGCCAGGATCCTCAAAAATTGATTTTTAAATAGGAAACTATTAGAATTAACTCTTTGATTATGATGATCTAACTTATCTATTTATTGGAGTTGGAACTGTTTTCATGTAATCTTCAGAAGATTTTCTAGCATTCTAATTGTAAATTACTCTTGAAATCCTTTCACTAAATATTAAAACTAATCAACTCCTTATTATGAAGACAATATATCATATAGACTTTAATTCTATTCTGGAACACATTGCACCAAAGAACTTTTTAATTAATCCGATATTTTCATTATTATATAAAATGTATATTTATATATATATATATTATGCAGACACAAAATATTTTTGAATATTGTTATTTAACTTCTATTCATATTGAGAAACCTCCATACAAAATAAAATTAAATCTGTTAAGAGATTGATGTTTAGAATAATAAAAACAGAATAGATATTAGATTTCATATGTTGATGATAATTAAATACTTAATGTATCTTATACTATTGTAAATCTCATTTGGCATTTTTCTTAGCTTCTTATTATTTTTTAAGTTGATTGGCATCAACAAATACGATAGTCTTACATCTCTTGATGACTTTTAACCACTTCAATTTACACTTAACACATTCAAGTCTAAAACAATTAACAAATGTCATACTTTAAGGCAACTTTCTTTGTTGTCTTTGCCTTCTTTCTGAAAATAGGTTTAGTTTGTCCACCATAACCAGCTTGCTTCATGTCGTACCTTCTTCTACCTTAAGCAAAAGGACTTTCCTTGCTCTTTTTATATTAGGACACTTTGCAACTTTAATGACTTCCACATTTTCTACAATAGGTCTTTCTGTTTTTGGGGACGTTCACCATTTATTATTTTTTTAATAAAATTTAATCATTTTTTGAAAATCCAAAATAATCAATATTTTTATTCAATCAATCAATTCTCTAAAATTAATACATTTCATCTACTACCTATTAAGAAAATAAAATTATGTATAAATGATAGAACCATAGTGAAGAATTTAATATTTATTTTAATATCTATAATCATAATAAATAAATAATGTTCATATCATTCTATTTAATCATTAAACTATTCAAAATAAATTGTATTTTACATAATTTGTTATTTAATCTATGAATTTTAACAATTAATTATAGTTTTTAATATATATTACAAATCTGCCAATTTAATTTAATGAGGATTTTATGATTTAATTATTAATTAGTAATCTTAATTTAGATATGTTTTCTTCATTATTAGAGATTCTTTAAGCATATAAATATAATTTTTATCATCAACTATCCTTAATTAATATTATTCTTCCAACATTTTAATTAGTTATATATATTTAATCATATTAGTAGTTATAATAATATATTATATCTATTAAGATTCTTTTTGAATCTTTAATAATCAAGTGAGAATAATAAAATATATAATTAATATCAAAATTAAATTAATTCATTGATAAATTTTAATCAAAACATGTAATAATTTAGATCTAATTGATTTATATTTTAATTAAAAAATCAATTTGAATCACCACTGCTTTCAGATATATTCAAAATGTCTTAATCTTTGAATTGTGGGGAACAAAACAATGTTTTTTGATATTAATCTTTTCTTATTTCTAAATGACTATTATTTTAACTTGATTCACTAGGATATGTCATTTATTTTTGATCACTGAAATGTTTCATTTCTTTAGAACTAAACATTTATTAAACTTCTTTATCTTCATCATTTTCAAATTCACTTGGATCTTATTGATCATCACATAGATTCATTTATTAAACAGAATCCATTAATTAAGATTATTTATTTGATAAAATAGCCTTTTTGCATGTTTCAGTATCTTGTAGATATTATAAACATTAAGTTCCTTAAAGTTCATATTTTTTAATATCAGGTGTTTCTAATACAAACTTTTGACTTGATTAAATCATTTATTGATAAAATCTAATATAGAATAAAATATAATAATTTACTATTATGTTTTAGATTGATTATTCGAGATTTTATTTAAAATGGATCTAAATTTTTCACTTTTAGCAGGACTTACACTTGAATCATTTTGAATAACATCACTATTTTATTAATCTTCAGTATTATTAAAAAGAGTTCTAAAAGTACTTTTTTATTTTTAGAAGGCATCTTTAGGTATTTAAACATGTTCTTCTAATTTGGTAGCTGTTCTTTATACTGATTATTTAGTTTATCCACTAGCAGGACTATGAGGAGTAGATTTATGTGAATTATGTTCACTTAATTATTCATCATCTTCAGATATATTTTTTTTAGATTCTCTATAACTTTCTAAAATCATAATTGGATTTGAGGTAGCAGATTATTTATCTTCATGTAGGCTTTATTTTGAATTTTTTTCAGATTCTAATATATTCATAAATATATCTTTATTTTCAAAAGATATATAAAGATTATTTTTATTTGGATTTTATTATGATTATTATTATGATTATAATTTGGATGCACTTAACTAATAAATATTTGCATCATTAAAATATTAGTAAAAATTAGATGGAGTTTCATTATTTTATGGTTAAGTTTTAGATCCACTATAATCAGTTTTAACTCTCTATTATTAATTTGATTAATGTATTTATGAATCAACAGTATCAATTCTTTTTTTTGGAGGAGTTGGTTAAGTTCTAATAGTTTAATTGAATATAGAATTGCTATGTAAAATTAATTGTTATTCAGATTCACTTAATTAAAAACTATTATTATATAATTAAATCAATACTTCTATAGAATCAAAGCTAAAGTTGATTAAATATCTGTTTTTGATAAAGATTTCACTGAAATAGTTGATGATTATAACTATGTTTAAAAATCATTCATTTTAACAAATTCAGACTAATAATAATCCATTATTTTTCTAAAAGGATCCATTCTTATATCTTCTAAGACTTCAGTCCAATTCTTTTCAATATCTTATTTAATATTCTATGCATCTAATTAATGTTATTGTAAAACAAAATATAGATTTGATAACTATTTTAATGATTCTTATCTTTAATTTTAAAGTATCTGAATACTATTATTGCATGCATCATTCATTAATTATTACATAACTTATTTTGATTTATGACATTATCCAATCTAAGATTCATACCATTAATTAATTTTTTCAATTTAACTTTACATTTAATTTAAAATATCAGCTCTTTGAGAATGTGAACATTCTAATTTAGTTAAAAATCCACTTAATTCTCTTTCCTTAAAATTAGCATCTGAAAAATTGGAATGTCTATTTGAATCTACTGAACTTGATTAAAATGATAATATTTATGATTCTTATGATTTGATTATTAATTGACTTAAATCTTGTACAATTTTACCTTAACTGGCAACTGTAATAGCACATTATGAACAATAGAATATTTATTTTTGATGTTCATCTACAAAATACTTAGCTTTTTTAGTTCTATGATTTATGCATGTTCTAACAGGAAATGATTCTTATAGATGATCATTAGATCCACTAGTATTTTAATATGGTGATTATTAAGTTAATATTTTAGCTTAATGAAATTTACTATTTAAACTTTCACCAACCTATTTTTTAATTTATTAATCTTACACTTTATTATTCAATTGATATTTTAGAATGTAAATAAGTACTTGGAGTACCAATATTTAATAAATTCATATCATTCTCTTTCTCTTTGTCATAATATATCATTCTAATGCATTGTTCATCTAAAACTGATTTACTTTTACTATGTTCTGTATTTAATGTTGTAGTTGTAACTTTAGTTGGTGTATGATTCATGCCATAATCACATTTCTTTAAAATATTAGGTTTTAAATTATAAGAAACTGAATTAGCTGAATTATGACCTTTAATTTTATGATTTGATTTTTATTATTATTATTGAATAGATAAATAAGGACCTAATTATAATGGATTAGCTTTTGGTTTTTATGAATTTGAACCTTTTGGAGATGAAATAGCTACATATTTACATATTAATTATTTACTTTAATGATTTTATAATAGAGATGCTACACTTTCTTATATTTCTGATGGTGTTGGAGATTTAGCTATAAATCTGTTAATTTAAGGAGTAGCTGAATATTCATCATTTACTAGAGAAGAAGGTCTTCTTTATAAGAATTCTTCATTTTTTTTATAATTGCTTAATTGGGAATTAGGTGAATAGTCTCTCCTTTTACTAAATTGATTCAATTTTTCTTAGAATTATTCATTTACAATATGACTTTTATTTTGCAAGGACATATTGGATTTATGAATGGCAATTTATTAGGATGGTTTTTAAGATGGTTTAGTTGCTTAATTGTTTGATCTAGGTGATGAAGGTTTCTTATCCATAATTTCATTAGTTTTTTTGTTAAAAAAGTTATCATTGATTTGATTGGGAATCAAATTTGAAAGTTTGATCTTATCAGGTTTATTAGAAAATTATTGTGCTAAAAATTATTAAGCTTATTGTTATTTGAGTATTTATTGCATTTGTTATGACATTTCTTAACTATGAAATTCAAATTCAATTTCTAAATTTAATTATATAAATGCCTCCAAATATTTATTAATCTAATTACTTTATATTAACAGCTACTTTACTATTGATGTGTTTTTATTATTATTAATCATGAACTCATTATACTTATCAACCTAAATAAGTCATTCAAAATCAACTTAACAAACATCTAATATTTTATTCCAATACTTTGATAAATCTAATTTGATCATTTAATCACTTTCATAATCTAACTACAACCAATTCTATATTAATATTAGTGTCTCAATACTTATACTCTAATACATATAATCCTTATTCTAATATTAATAGTTCTTATCTTATATTTTAACAAATACTAAAATATTTATATAATAATACCTTCAAATTATTCTATATCAAAAATAAATTAATTTAGCATCATCTACTTTTGATTATCAATTCTAATTTATTATAAAAATCCTCATTAAATCTATTAATAAGTTTTCTATTAAACTTATTCTTTTTTTTAATTTAGTTATCATATCTATATCATTAATAATATACTCTATAATTCGTTATTTCATTTATTCATAGATGATTTGAATAATACATTAGAAGTTCTCTTTAATTTGAAGCTTATTAAAATTTTTATATGCTTGATTAAGCACTATAATTTTCTTATTTCAAGGAACCTCCATCAAAATTCCTTGAAATTTTACAGCAACCTCTTAATGGAATCAAATTAAAGCCAAATTACTTCTATAAAGAGTACGAAAATTCTCCTAATAAATTCAAAAGATTGAGGATTTCAACTTAACATGAAGGCACTGTTAATAATATTGTTATTGACTTAAATATTCCAAGTCCAAACTTCAGAGTATAACATAAAATGGATTACCTTGACAATAATATCACAATTCATTCTCAAATCACTAGTTAAAAAACTACACCTAAATCATCACGATCAAATAGTCCGTTAAAGAAATTATATTTAGGCTCTAGCCTAGTAGCTAAAAGAAAATTAAATGGTTATGTAAAACACAAAAAATCACCTGATCCTTATGAAATATGTAGACAAATGACAAAGAAAATATAATATAAGAAAACTGAAACTTTGACTATTGCCTCTTAAACTCTCTATCTTTTATCAAAATATGGTACTTGATAACTCCAATAATGATATTTATAAATTTTCTTAGATTTACTTAGAAACAACCCTTTAGAATTTACAATATGTATTGATTATTTAATCTTATATTAAATTAATTTATATATCTAGTAGATATATATTGATTCAGTTAATATAGTAACATGGCAATTCAATTTCAGAATGTTATTTTTGTTTAATTAGATTGATCACAATCAAGGTTTTTATCACTAATTTTTTAATGAATTTACAGTGATCAATCAATATTTAATAATCTTATGATTTATAGAAGAGATCTAAATAGAAGATCTCATAAACCTTTTATTATTATAATTAGAATAATGAAGAGAATAAAAGTAAATTATAAATATGACTAAAAAAAAATAATAAGAAATTATGAATATTAAATAAATTCTAGAATTATTCACATTCTTTGTCAACTTTTTAAAATCTATATGCATTAATCAAAATAATTGGTCATTTCTAATATTTCCTTTTGAGTCTATACATTTGCTTCTAAATTTTAATCAAATATAGAGTGCCAAGGTTCCCCATTAGACAAATCTGCTATTGTTATTTTTAATAATTTGCTAGCCATAGTAATTGCACAAAGAGTAATTATTTTTGGTTCATAATATAGACATGCATTATTAAGGAATAAATCTGATAAAAATTTCTAAGCAAATTCAAACAATTATTAAATGTCTCCTTAAGCTACAACTAATTTAGTTTTGGCTTCTTAAAAGTATAACTATGGAACTATTATATGTAAATCATATCCTATCATCTATAAAATATGAGATTCTGCATCTATTATTTTCTCTTAAATAATTTTATAAGTATTTTAGTCATCATTTTCTATTTTCAATCCATCAATATCTACTGCCTTTTTTGATATGCAATAACTAATAAATGCACTTGCATATCTCTTAACAGACCAATCAAACATGTCATTGTCTTTGGCTGATAAAAATAAACAAGCTGCCATATAAATATGTCTATTAAATTTCTTATAAGAAACTTAATGAGCAAATCTATGAAATATAGAGAGTGCCTTTTAAAAATATTGATTGAATGTGCCTTATTCACTATTTTTCAATAGAATCTCAAAGTCACGTGCAATTTGATAACATTCTGATTATATTTTTACTTCTTATTAGAATGTGAAATTATCTCTTGATGAAGCAGAGTTTTTCCAATCTTCATATATAAGTAATTTCATAATTATATATAATTAACATTTTAATTAGTACAAAAAAGATTTCTAAATTATTCACATAATTTTTAGAATAAATAAAATTCATTCAATACATAGAAAACAATTAATGCACAACAAATTTTTCAATTTATTTTATTGGACAATCATTTCAGAATTCAATCTAGCAATCTTTTTATTAATCATTGATTATTTTTTAATTAATTATTATTCAGGATAATTAAAATATATTTTTTAAAATTTTTGATTTCTTGTAATAAGATCACCAATTGTAAAATGAAGTAGAGGTGTCTTTTCTTTGAATTTTTCTCTTTTTATTTACTCTAACATTTTATTATGAAGAGAATCAACCCATTTTTATTATGAATTTTCTTCTTCTTCTTCAATTTAATTTATATCATATTTATCAATATTAGATTATAATTATTCTTAAACGAAAGTTAATTTATTTGCAATCTATAATTTATCTTATGATATTTTCTCCTTAAAATAGTAATAATTGTAAGCATAAGTGATATCTATAGGTATTATTGTAACTGATTTTCTACTTGTGATATATCGATTATTATTATCTTTTGAAAAAGATACACAAATGTCACATATAAGTTTCGAATCAAATTATTTAGGATTTTACAGTTATTAGAATATAAATAAGATTATTTCAATATTACAACCTACAATTGGCAATTTATTTTGAAATTATTCTGCTGAAATATTTGGAAATGTATTTATCATATCAACTGAATCAAAATAAAGAATTTTATTTATTTTAAATCTATTAAAGTCTCTAAGTATTTAATTAAGTTTTATTCCTCCAAGTTATTACTAAGGTTAAGTTTGATTTTTACTAATGTATATGGCATCAATAAAAAATCCATTATAAAATAAATATTTTTACCATACTTAAGCAAAAGCTTAACTACTAAATAGGAATACAATCAAATAAGTTTTAGATAATCTTAAAAATTAAAATAATTAATTTACAGTTTTAGAGTATTTTTTAAATCATTTCTTAATGTGCATGGACAATATGGGCTTTCACATTATTAAACGATACTGCCTCTTAGAAAGGAAGGACAAATTTTCATCTCTATTCTAAAATCCCAAAAGTTTTTCTTTGATTATATCAAAAAGTCTTAAATAATAGTTTATTAAATACTTTCAAAATTCATTATTACTATTTTATCAATAGATTAATCACGATCATTTGTACCAATATAAAGGCAATTTAAATTTATACCCTTTTACAATTCCTCGAATTACTTGTTCAAATATCTCAATTAAATAACATATTCCTAAATCTTTTTTTATTTAACTATAGGCTTGACCTTCTATTAACGACTCTTTAATTTCAAACTAACAACTTATTGTGTAGTGGATAGTTATGGTAGTATCTATTCAAGTTTATAGGATGGTTTTTAATTGAATATACATTAATGTCCTTTAATAGGTTTTTTAAGAATCTTTTATTATTATGAATCTTCAAGGCATGATAAATTATCATAAATTTCAGCTCTTTTATTTGGAATTTATTATAAGGAGTTAGAAATGAAGAAAGATTCATTGAGTTCTGTTCTATTGGTTTCATATTTTAATTTATTTCTTGTTTCAAGGATACTAATATTTGTATTCTTTAGCATAAAATATCCACGATAAATGCTTTATTTAAATTAAGACCGATTGGAAAAGTAAAGAGAGTTTGAGAGATCATTATTTTACATATTAAATTTGATAATTAAATTGATAATTTTCAATTAAGTTTTCTAAACTAAGATGTAAGAACCTCTTATTTTTATTATTGCTTGGTTACTTAAGATATCATTTATTAAATTAAAGAGTTTTTAGTACTCATTGAACATTTTAAAGTTGTTGTTCCACTACTAACTCGTTTAATTTTTTAAGTTTTTGGTGAATTTTGACAAGAAGCAGCAATACTATTTTTGAATAGAAATTCACTAGCACCACCTCTATCTGTTAAGCAAACATATTCTTATTAAGTATCAGGTAGATTAGTATTTAATTAGAGAGGTTTTCCTTCAGATTGATTTTTTTTATGTTTTGACTATTATTCTAATGAATATTTAATAATAATAATTACATTTTTTTAGTTCTGGATTATCATTAATGTTAATGTTGATATTAATAATTTTATCCTAATTGGATGTATATCTTATATGAATATTAGGTTGAGAAGATTTACGATTAGTTTAAGATCCTGATTATTTATTTATTTTTGTATTTGCTTATTATGATGATGGGGTTGGTGTCTATTTATTTTTATTTATTTTCAGATCATTTTATATTATTCTGGATATGGTTGGACTATTTCTATTTGAAAAGAAATTTTGAGTTCCTGAAAGAGGTCTATGTGTTTAAGAACCATTTTTCCATTTCACTTCTTATTCAGTAGGATCTTCATCAATCAATATCTTAGATATTTATTTTAAATTTAATTTGCCTTATATATTAATCAATTAAATTACCTATATTTGATTAATTGGATATTGACATTTTATTATGAGAATTAGTTGTAGGAGATGGTATATTATTTGTATTATATTTGTTTAGTAATTATGGAATAGATTGAACATTTTTCTTTAATTCTTTTAGAAAAAGTTAAGTAGAGATCTTAGGTTAATGTTAAATAATAGTTTTAGATTTTGGATTTGCAGATTACTTAATTTATTCATTTTGATCTACTCTTGTAAGACTTTAAGGATTTTCATTACTCTGTTTATTTTTAAATAAAGAATCTACTTGATTTCTCACAAAATTAACATTGAAATCTTTAGATAATTTATTCATCTAAAGTAATAACTCATTATTTTATTTGGAATGTTAAGAACCTAACCTAGATTTTGATTCTTCTTATTGTTTTTATATTAAAGTTTAAATTAACTATTCTTATGGTTAACTCAATTTCTTTTTAGGTTTTAGATGTTAAGAATCATTTTTAATCTATGTTTTCTTAACTTACTGATTCACATAAGTTAGAAACTTATTTAATTTCAATTCTTCTGTTTTTCCTGGTTAAATGAAAAGTGAAGATTATTCAAAAGCTTAATTACCTAGATATTTACAAATATCTTGTAGAGTACAAGAAATATCGATTTTCTATTTATTAAATAATCTTGATTTATTTAACCAACTCAAGTCTTTCAAAATTTGAATGTTTCTAATTCTTCTTGCTGTTGTAGGTGATTATTCCTCTTTTTAGGTTTCTTAAGAATTAGCAGGAGAAGGTTGCTCTCCAACAATACCTTTGGGAGGTCTATTTGGATTTTTTTTATTTTCCTCTTCAATCAAATGAGCAATTCTATAGTACTCATATTTTCGTTTCTTATCGTAATATTTGTTAAGCATTGTCGCAATTGGTTCCATGTATAATCTGGCAATATCTGTATGAAACTCTTTTATATGGTTAATTTTACTTTATAGTATTCAGTTAACAACTGGACCTTCTGTGGATATTCGTCAGTATAATAATACCTTTTTAGATATTCATCCTTAGAATGATTCATATATTTACATCATCATCATATCCATGCCAATCTTTGTATCGGATTACAGCTTTTGATGAAGCATCAGCAAGAATTTCATTTATGTCTCTAGTGTAATAATAATTCTAAGATTAGCAATAATGAAGGAACAAATTTTTATTTGTCCAAACAACAGTATTTTGAATTAATTCAGATTATCGAATTATCTTCAAATTTTCTTTGCTAATTTATTATTCTTTGTTATGTTTCATCACACTTATTTGTAAATTAATAATATTTTAAAACCATAACAATTCATTTTTATTTATTATTTTATTTGATCTTATTAATATTAATGAAAATCAATAGGCTCAAACTAATCACAAAATATATCCTTATTATTTATAAAAGAAATTTATTTTTAACATAATAAAAATGAATTAAAATTAAGAAGATAATGCTTAACCATAATTATTAGATAATTAAGGAACTGAAAATTAAAAGCAAATTGAAAAGAAAGTAGTTGTTTAACCTTTTGAATAAGAAAAATAAAAAATTTAATATAAATATCTTGGACATCCTCCTTTTGAAATTAATCCAGAAGATGAAGTAACTATACATTTTATTTAAGGATATAAGTTGTATTGAAGGCAGAATACCTAATATATAAGCTTTAGATTAATGTGTTAATCTAAAAAGATTATGTTTAAGAACAAATTTAATTTCTAAATTAGAAGGACTATAAAATTGTATATTACTTGAAGAATTAGATTTATATGATAATCGTTTAATAAAGATAGAAAATATAGAATTATTAGTCAATCTAGAAATACTTGATTTATCTTTCAACAATATTAAAAAAATAGAAAATTTAGAAAACTAAAAGAAACTTAAAAAGTTGTTTTTATTAAGTAATAAGATCAAAAAAGTAAATAATTATTATTATTATAAGATATAAAATTTAGATTTTCCTGAACTTACAATGTTAGAACTTGGTTCTAATAAAATTTCAGAAATTGAAAATCTTGATAAATTGCCAAAACTTAGAGAATTATTTTTAGGTAAAAATAAAATATAGTTAATAAAAAATCTTGAACCATTATCAAATACATTAGAATTATTATCTTTATCATGCAATAAAATATAAATGATTCAACCAGAAATATAATGTTTATAGAATTTGAATTATCTTTAAATAGCTGAAAATTTCATAACAATTATTGAAAATTTGAATGGATTAAAATAATTAGAATTATTGGATTTAGCTCATAATAAAATTACTAAAGTTTAAGGAATAGATTAATTATAATAACTATAAGATTTATGGGTATTAATTATTAACTATAATAGTTAAATAATAATAAAATTGAATATTTTAAAGACTTTGAATTATTGAAATTAAATCAAAGTATCAAAACAATATATGTTGAATAAAATCCTGTTTCATAATTCCCTGATTACAAAATGCAATTATTGTCTTTAATACCAACCTTAATTCAAATAGATGCTGTAAGAATTAAATGAGTTTGAGTATATATTTATATATAACATTATAAAATATTAATAATTTTAAAAATTAAAATGCAGAAACCTGAATAAGTGATGCAAGATTTTGCTAATTTATTAGATAAATGTAATTCAATTTTTAAATAATCTTAGATAGAAATGATCCTGAAGCTTGGTCATAAATTTATAAGGTTATAAATTATAAACCAACTTAAAATATTCCTAAAGGATAATCGTTAGACCCAGAAAAAATTCGAGAGTTTCTAAGATTAGGAAAACCTGGAACATAAGAATTCGATCCTTATGATGATATGATATACTTTGATGATAATAAGGTCAAAGAAATAGTTTTAAGATAAAATTTTCTAATTGCAAAAGGTTAATTATATATATTAAATGATTTTCTAGGTTATTTTGATCCAAAGGCATATTTTCCATCAATTAATTTAAGTAGTTTAGATGATACATCATTTGATGAGAAAATAAAAGGTATAATGATATATATAAATAATTAGAAATGCTTAAAATACCAGATTAAACTGAAAAGAAAATTTGAAATTTATATCATTATCAAAACAATAGTTCATATTACTTTACTAATTCATATTACAAACCTATAAATGCGAATTAATGCTTATTTAAAGTCATCAATATTCAATGGTTTTGTTAAAACTATTTGCATTCCACTTTCATAACATTTTTCTATTTCATATTATCCATTAAATGCAGTTAATCCAATTATAGGAATAGATGGTATGATATTACCAGTCATCATATTCCTTAATCTTTTAGTTGTTTGCCATCCATCTAAAATTGGCATTTAACAATCCATCAAAATGAAAATATATAGTTAACAATTTTCACTGCATTTTTTAGTATTTTTAATAATTTCTATAGCTTATTAACCATTATATGCAAGTTATATATCAAATCCCATTTATCCTAAAATCATTTCAAGTGCTTTTTAATTGAAAGAATCATCATCTACTGATAAAGCTCTTTAACATTAACATTTAAATTTAAATTTTACTTTGTTGAAATTTATTTATAATTAACTCTAGTCATCATTTCTTTATTACATTCTTGATACTAATGAATTTTGTCTATGTTTAGTAGTCAAAAATTTTGGATAAAAATTTGATTATATTTATATAAGTTAATGAGTTAAACCAAATCTATCAGAATCTAAATACTAATATAATATCACTTCATACCTTAAATTTAAAGATCTGTTTCAAGTTAACTTTAAAGTCCAACTATTTAATTAGATTAAGGTTTCCCATAATAATCAGCAATTGATGGTAAATCCTTAACAGGTATATTTTTGACTGAAGCATTTTTATATTCAGCATTTGTTATAATCAATAAACCTTATTAAGTATTATTAGATTTAAATACCTTATAGACCTTCACTGAGATCTGGAACTGTATTTGGAGTTTATAGAGATCCTCTTTTAAATGTTTTATGTTAAGCTAATTATTAAGTGAAAACTTAGGTTTAAGTTTTAATTCTGAATTTAACTTCAACTCCTTGATTCAAACCTTTAGAAGTAATTTAAAGATATGATTTATTTTGAGGTGCCAAAGTTATTAAATTCATTTAACTCACCAGAAGTCCTAAACCTTACCACTCATGTTATTAAGATAAACTCCTATTTAATGCAAAATCTTAAAGAGTTTATTAAATTTTTGTTAAGAGTTATGGTTCTATTCCTTATCCTTAATCTTATATACTAAATAACACATAACCATCAAAACCTTGTATTACAACTTCTACTTAGCCTTTTGAACTAAATTTAACTGAATTTTAGAGAATGTTTACTAAAATTTACATGATTCTATAATAATCTGATTTAATGACAGTAGGAATAGATCTTTAAGCATTTACATGTAAACCTATTTTTTTATGTTAAAAAATAAGTTTAAATAGATCATTTATTTCTTGAATGATATCTACAAAATTAAAATCTGAGAAATCATATTTGATCATCTTTTAATTAAATTATGTAAAATCAATAATATCTCTTATTATATAGGCTTATAATCTTAATGAATTTTTTGCAGGATCAATAAAATTTTCTTTTAATTAAACAGGTAAAGAATTTGTTTAACTTAATGCTTATAGAAATAATTCTGCACTATTTAATGGTGTTCTTAATTCATGTGAGAATGAATCAATCATTTTAACAATGAATTATTCTTTTGTTTCCATTTTTTTGAAATTTGTTTATAGAGTAATATCTTAAATGATAATCAAAAATTCATTTTCATCTTATGCAGATGATATTTTAAATAATAAATTTCTTTCTTCAAAAAAGGCTTCATTTCCTTTACAAAATGTAGCAGATAATTCTAATTGATCATCACGTGTTTTAAATTTTTCTAAATGTCCCATATTTAATAAATTTAAAATTTGTTTTATAGTGAATGTCTTATTTTAAATTTTCTATTATGTTAAATTGAAGGTACCTGAAGCTTAAATCATACCATTTTTCTCTAATACTATACTAGTTTAATGCATAAAATAATTGTTTTTCTTTTGAATTATTGTACATTCTATATTCTCAAGAATAAATTTTCCAATATCACTTTCAGCTTCAAAAATTTATAATAACTAATCATTTTCAAATAAAATTTCTAAATTTTCCTTTTTTACTATTACAATTCCAACAGGAAATGTTTATAATTTATTCATCCATTTCATACTAACAGATTCACTAATACGATTAATTAATAAAGATTATCTTGTTTAATATCTTGATGGTTTAATATCTGTTTTTTCGAACTCTTTAAATTTGATTTTCTATTTCTCTTTCTTTTTCATATTTTGATGTTTTTCTTTAAAAATTAACATTGTTGCATAACCTACTGTAAAATAAGTAACTCCTTATTCATTTTAAGATATCATCAAAAATAATTAGAGAGCATTCAAAGCAATAAAAAATATGTAACTAAATTGCTTTTATAGATTATCTATTAATTGTTTTTCATAAAATTTAATAAGTAAATAGCCATATCTCAACATTTCTGTAAAATAGAAGCAACAATAAAATATTTGTGCTAATTAAGCCAATAACATAATAATTTAGATGTATTTTCTCTTCTTTCTACCAAACTTCTTTGCAATACAAGGTGATAATAATATACCTAATAATTGGATTGTAACTGTATTTATAGTTACTATAAAAGAATCTTTTGAATAACCATAAATTATCGCTGATAATGCAATGTCAATTATGCATTTGAAATAATACCAAAATTCTTTATTATTAAATTTCATTATTAAATATATTCAACTATTAAGTTCATCATAAATATATAGTGAACTAAGTAAACTTTATGCTTTGAAAAATTAAATAGATCATAATTCAAAATATAATTTAATTCATTAGATCCATTATTAAGTTGTTAAGTCATCATGTGAAAATTATCTTGATAACATCTTACAGTTTAGAAATATACATATATCATCATTTTATATATTTTTTAAGAATTAATAAAATCATTATATTTTTAATATTCATTCACAATAAAAGGCTATACTTTATTATAATTCACTTAGACCAGTTCTATTTCTTATTAATATAAAATGTATACAATACCTCACACTTGTAAAATGAAGCACCTAAGATGAATAGATATGTTTTTCTAATTTTTCTCTACTTTTTTAAACCAATTCCTCTATTTTAGATATTTTATCACATTTTGTAAATACTATTGTAAATGGCTTTTCCAAACTTTACATTAATTATAATGTCATAGAATCTACTTCTTTAAATCTGATTATGATTATGTAATTTTATGTACCCATGTTCACTATCAATTAGAATATATGACTATTTTAAGAAAGGAGTGTTTTTGATATAATACTGCATTAAATATCCCCAATTTTATACATCTTTTTTATTACCCTTTGCAAAACCATAACCAGGAGAATCAACAATCACTTTTGATTAACCTAAATTATAAAAATCTAAAGATCTTGTTTTCCCAGGGTAATTAGAAGTTTCAGCAACATTTCTTCCTAATAATGCATTTAATAAACTAGATTTGCCAACATTTGATCTTCCTAAACAAAATTAAAATTGTACAAAAAAGTACCTATTATTAAAAACTAGGAAATAGTATTCATTTATTTACCTCTTTTCGCTTGATTTTACTTAATTCCTATTCTTTTTATTGTTATTAAAGGAAATTATCAATATTATTTTTCTCAAATTTACCTTCTATTTTAACCATCTTGTAAAATATTTCTGAAGCCATTTAACTCTAATTATGTTAACATTATAAATATTTACATATTTAGGTTTTAGAAATTATATTGGCTCACCTTTTAAATCAAAAATAGTTGTAGAAAATAGAAATTGAGTCTATTTAAAGAGCATATAGATATAAATAATATTAATAATATAAAAATATAATTACTCTCTAATTATTCATATAAATTATTTATCAAAAATCTTAAGACCTATATATATACCTTTCTTAATAATTATAACAATTATATATTCATTTATTTTATAACGTAACCATAATAAAGTAAAATTTAAAAATTAGAGTTTTCTTTAAGAAAATTTCTAAATTAATTGTCAAAAATAAAATAAGTCTTTTAAAATTTGAATTAAATTAGTATTATTTTGATAGAATATAATAGCAATATTTATTCTATAAAAAATCAATTGATAGATGTCAAAATAAAATAAATTATTTATTTATTATTCTGTATAATTTGTAAATAATAACCAGATTAATAAGTTATTTTTAATATTGAGTTGACTACCTTAATTTTATTATAAGTTAATATTATATTTCATAATTTTGAAATTCTTTTATTTCTAATTAGTTTATATTTTCTAACAAATTTATCTGTCCAACCTTTACTTGCTTTGAAATCAACTCCTTATTTAATCATTTTCAAAGCTTATGTTTAAATCATGGCTCGAGATACTCTTTTATTAGTATTTCTAATTGTTTCATGACACCATTATGCCAATTTTTATTCCATTTCCAAATCTATTGATTTGCGCCCACAACCTTATTTTCTAAAAGGACCTTGTTTTTTCCACCTTCTAATGTTTTTTAATGGGATATCTAGTTTATTTGATATAGTTCTATCATCTATCCCTTCTTCAATCCATTTGAGCGCACAAATTTTTAAACTTAGACTATAGCTTCTATATTTTCCTCTTTCCTTTTTCTTTTTCTTTCTTTGTTACTTTAAATTTAAGTCTCTAACTCTTTAACAAAGGTTCTTTGTAAATCTAACAGGAATGATTTAAAATTTTTCACAAATAGGTTTTTCATAATTGTAAAAAAAGTGAAGAGTTATCATAATTTAATAAAAAATTCTATTTTTATAAATATCAAACTCTAAATAATATATTTTTTATTAAGTATCAAATCCTATAAATATTTTTATTAAGACATTAACATTTATCACAAAAATAAATAATCCGATTCAATAATTTTAATAGTTATATAATATAACATATAAGATTATTATAATTTTTTAATATTAAAATACAAAAAAAATGATTGAAGATTTAAAGCGACAGTTTGATTTATTAATGGAAGAAATGTAGTCTTGTTAGTATAAACTCACCTCAGCAGAAGAAAAAGGATTTTTTGTAATCCCTAAGGGTTATTTTGGATATTTACTAACAAAGGGCTTTTGGTATAAATTAAGAATATGGATTTGTATTGAGGAAAACAATTAAATAAAATGCAAACTAGATTTATCTGAGGATTTTTTTTACAAAGAAAATGCATTGAAAGTTCTAAACTAAAGAATAAAGAATTAAACTCCTTGTGAAATTTCATGATCATTATATTAATTGAAAAAATTCCCTTAAATTCTTATTTAATTTTTTAACTATACTTCTTTAAATATACATAACATATCCATTTAAAGTTTTATAAAAGGAAATATCATTTAAATAAATTTCTATAATATTAGATTATAATAATAAATGAATTATGATCATTCAGTTCTTTTTAATAGGGGATGCTTAGCTAAGAAATTCAGAATCCTCTTATTCTAATTTCTAAACAAATTTTTCAAAGTCTTTCATTCTTATTTTTACTGTTGATATACTTGAAGTAGATTTAACCATCGATCTTTATGAAAATAGCTAATAATTATATGGATATATATACTGAAAGCAAACTACTATTTTTTTTCATTGATTATTTATTATTAGCTTTAAAAAGACTTTTGAAATTGTCAAAATCAAGTTAATCATTTTGAACTTCTAATTATTCTAAAAATTCATCTATATCAAATTGTAAATCAAATTCATCTTTTAATATTTCAATAATTCTATTTTTATGAACATATCCACTTGCATCAGGTTCTCCTCCTAAAGCAACAAATGCATCAACTAAAATAATTTATTTGTATAATACTAAATTCATTTAAATGTATTTATTGTTCCTCATGTTTATTTTCTTATTCGAATCCTTTACATACTTTTGTAACAAATATAATAGTTTAAAAATCTAATTATTATGTATTTCTAAGCTCTATTTCTTTAAAGATCTTTTCCTTGCATTATTAATCAATCGAGAATCCAAATTCTAGTTTTTCAATTCACAATTATATACCCTTTAATAGATCAATCATATCATGATAGCTTAAATAGCCCTATTTATTGATATCCAATCTTTTGAATATTTTTAACAATGTATCAATTTCTGTTTTTGGTAGATCACAAGCTTAAGAATACTTTAAAAGTTAATTGTAATCTAATTTATTATTTTTCTAATTATTCAGCTAGACCCTTTATGAAGATTATTGTTCGGCTATTGGAATGCTATTAATATTGTTATCCATGACGCAGTGAGTCTGTTATTAAATAAATTTATGTGATTTTAAATCATAATATTATGAAATCTCTGATTTTTTTTATTTAATTTTAGGTATTAGATAATTTAATAATATTGTGATTCTAACTTTAAAAGATATATAAATTAAGTTTATAACAATTATAGTAATTATCAAAATAAATCATCAGACATCATATCCTAAAGTTCTTTTCCTTTTTTTGAATTCACCACTTTAGTTACAGTTTTTGCTGAGGCTTATGTCTTTTAGGAAATTAAACTTGAATTATTTAATTTCTTTTCCTCTTATTTTTCAATTCTTGATGGAATTTCTTCTTTTTTTATTATATCCTACTTTTATTCTTAAACATCAGATTGCTCTAAAACTTTATTAATATCAATTAGATTTTTAGCCTTAGAATTTTTATATTATATTAATGCCATTTCTCTATCAAATCCATTTGTTATACCTTCTGTATACCAAATTGTATCTTTTACTTATTTGATTAATTTTTCAATATTTGGTTCATCAACTTTTTTTCTAATACCATATTATTATGAAGTAGCATTTTTTAATTGTCTTGCTCCTTTATTTAAAAAATCCAAATCTCTTATAATTTTGAAATAATCTTTCTTTGTTTCTTCAATCATTTTTTCCATTTCTTAAAGACTTTTTTTTGGTATTTCAGCCTTAATTTCTTATTGTTTTGTTTAATGTTCATTTTAGACCTATTTCCTATCTTAAGCAGATAGAGCTCTATATTGATCCTAATCATGATTAAAATATAGTGGATTACTTTCTTCTATATAGGGAATGAATTTGGAATTTTTAGTAATTCTGGTAAAGGTAATCTAACAAATTCTGAAACTTTCTTTTCAATTTTCTCTTCTTCTAGTTTTTTCACAAATTTCTCTATATACTGATCATGCTCTTTTTATAATTCATGTTAAATATTCTCTATTGTAACAACAGTATCAGAATAGTTATCTTCATGTATAGATGAGTATCTCTCTTTCTTTTCTTCTTCTTATTTCAATTATTTAATTCTTAAGTATTAAAACAAATCCATTTATAATTTTTCTTCCATAATTGCTTACTTATAATAGTAATATTTATACATCATCTTTGTCATTTACAGCTTGTGCACCTCCAAAAGGGGGAGGATTTTCCATTTAAATAAATTCAGGCAGAGTTATAATATCTTTGATTTATCTCTATTTAAATTAACAAGGCAGAGGAGGAATTTATTCTGTAAATTTATCAATTCTTTTTGGTTGATTAACTTAATCTAAAAAGTGATCAAATTCATATTGCTTTATTTTTTAAATATTCTATGATTTAAGAATAAGATCTTTCCCTTTTATTTTGGTTGGAATTGAAGGAGCAGGTTTAATTTGTTTCATAATTATATATATATATAACTATAAAGTCAATTAATTATTCAATAAATTTAAGTAAAAGTTCTCAGAACCAATCTACTAATGTTTCTATTTCTGAGTATAGACTAAGGTAAAAGTGTAATTATTAATTTCAATTAAGTAAATTCTTAATCTTCCAAATAATACCATATTAAAAATTCAACACTTATTAGAGCCAATGAACTATAAATTTATAAAATATATATATATACATTAGTCCAGAGTATAAAAAAAAATTACTTAATTTATCTTTTATCTCTTAACCTAAAGCCAAAGTTTGATCATAAAAATAATGAAAACTAGTATATACTAAATATTCCATATCATAAAAATATTAAACAAATATGTTTTAATGAATTTATGTATCTAAAAATTCTTACAATAATGTAGTATTAGTTTAATATTATAGATTATCTCTTTCATAAGAAAATTCATTCTATAATAAATTTTAATATTTTTGCATCATACCACTAATTCCTTATGTTAAAAACATATAAGTTATATCTTTTTCAGTATGATTCAAATTTGAAGAAATATTACAAAAATAATAAAAATTTGGAAAATTTTCACATAAATTTCCTTATAAAGCTGTCATAATTAATTCTTAAGTAGATGAATTAAAAATATCATTCTCCATAACTTCATCAATAATATTATTAATAATAGGTAACAATTAATCAGTATAATTAAAAAACTAAGAAATAGTTTCAATTTAATTAATATATTATAATGAATCTGAATTTATTAAGTATTCTGTTTTAATTAGTTCTCCTAATAACACTGAACTATCAAATATTTTCTTTAATTTAACAAACTAAAAAGTAGTTCTTAAAGACTACTTATATTATTAGTAGTATTCTAAATGTAAAAAGGATACTGACAATCCTAAAGTAATAAATATTATGAAATAGGTTAATGGTAACATGAATGATTTAAGAGATTTATATTTATGATTGATCAATTTATGATTGATTTATATAATTGATTTTGGTTTATTAAGACGATTAGATTATTAATAATTAATAGTTGATGGATTCTAAGTAGTAGATGACATTGTATGATATGGATTCATTTCACCTAATTGAATAATTATATCATTTATAGTATCATGATTTAGATGACTTAATAATTAGAATATTCTATTTTTTAAATCAGAAGAACTAAACATAGTTTTTGTTTAAATTAAAATAATTATTAATGCCAAACTACTTTCTATTATTAAAATAATATTAAATTATAAAGTAGATTATTCTATTTTATCTAATACAATTTAAACTAAAGCATCCATTGCAATATCACAAAATACAAATATTTTAATTACATTTTACCTTATAAAACTAGATGAATTTAATGTTGAATAGTCTTCTAAAGATGTATTATAATTAATTAAATTTTCTCTATGCATTTTATCCATTTTTGTTCTTGCTATATCAAAAAATTATAAGTAATTCAATTCATCTTATTTAATTGTATTATTATTCTAATAATCAACAATTACAGTTTCTTAATTGATATCAAGACTTAATAGATAACAACCCATAGAATCTTAATTATATCTTCCTAAGAATATTCCATTCACAAATTATAAAGATCCTAATCTTGAACTCTCTACTAATTCAGATAAATTATAAATATTTTGTATTTAACATAATCGATTCCATTAATTCAAAAATAGTGCAGCATAAACAAATGTAATAGCTTAGGGATAAATGGCATAATCATAATAATATTCAAAAACTTTGATATCACTTTGATTTGTTGAGATGTTTAAATAAGATAGAATTACCAAAATGAGTGAAACTATTAATAGCAAAAATAATGATATCTTAATATGTCGATATTAACCTTTGTGATTAATTAAACTTTCACCTTAAACTGATGTTTAATCTAAAATTATTTATTATTAATCATATTATTAAATATTATTTATAAGATGATTTAATCCTTACTAAATATATTAATCTTATGAGATATGACTTTTTAATCCTTCAACTAATAAAAAATTGATAGAAAATAAGGCAATCATATCACCTTCAGGTTATTCATATTTTTAAAAAGTTAATTCATATTCTATATCTATGCTTATAGATTTTGAACTGATGACTAACTTAGATATTTATTCTTGATAATTAGGTTTTATCATTTTAATAGGTATATTTTGAATTTTAGGATCTGTTGCTTAAGCCATTGTAACTTTTGATTTAAAATTATTAAACATATTTTTAGTAGATTATGTATAGAATATTTATTATAATGATTTTTTAGAAGTTAATGAAATTTCTTCATTGTAAAATTATTTAACTTTTTCTAAACATTTTTTATGATTCAATGGAAATTTCCATTAAGTTGAAGCTTTAAGACTAAACTAATCTTATAATGTTAATGATTAAAATTACAATACCTAAGAATATATTTCACCAATATAAAATTATATCATAGTATTTTCTAAAAATTCATTAACTTTCAATGATTAAGTAAATGCATTTCCAGATTATAAGATTAAATGTTCATAAATTTCTTTTGAAATACCAAGTATCTTACCATCTGAATTAAACCATAATATTTATGGAGTTAACTTTTCTATAATAATAAATTGATTAATTATTATATCATCATGTGTAAGTTGATAGGATAAATTAATTTAACAAGATTAAATATATAGTTCATTATTTAAAATACCTCCAATTTAATTCTTGGAATTAGTTGATGATTCTAAATATGATTAAATTAATTTAAAGTAAGAATCCTTCCAGAACATAGGTAGTAGATCAGACATATTTTGAGGCATAGTTTTGAGATTAGGAAATGTCTATTTCAATCTTTATAAATTAAGTTGACAAATCTTTCCAAATTCCTTTAAATAACTTATTTAAATTACTAAAGATTGACCTTATTATATAAATAATTTTAAATACATGCTTCAATTTAAAGATTTAACATTTTATTCCATGAAATTTTATCAATAATTCTATTTCTTATTTATTAAGCCTTATTTTATAAATATAATAGATTACTTTTTCAAAGTCCAAATAAAAATTTTAATAGAAATTAGCAATATGTTTTAATGTTAGAATATCACTTTATGGTACAAATTTCATTTTTAATTAATTTAAATCAATAAGATTTTCAAATTAATATTATTAATTTTGTAATTCTTAAGTAATCTTATTTAAACCTTTTAGAATTGCATTTATGTATGCTTATTCTTCTTGATCACTTTTTAATTATGTAAAAAATTCTATTTTAAGTCTAGATATTTTATTTAAAATCATTATAACTTTATCTTCAACAATTAATACTTTTGTAGCTAATTTAATATCTACTTATTAACTATAATAACGTTTGCAATGAATATTCAATTTTCTTTTAAGTGTCTATAATTTTATTTATTAAAGATAAGTAAATTTATCAGATTTAATTTTAGATAATAATAGAAGTCCTTTCATACAATTTATATCTTTTAAATGATCTATGTACTATATTTTCTAATCAAAAGATTCAAAATGTTTTACAATTTAAAAAGCATCTAAAGTTGCATATTGGATTTAATTAGCAATCAAGATTTCTATAATCTTTTTTTTTTTATTTGATTGAACTAAATTATGTATTTATAGTTTTAATAAAGATACCTAATTATTATCCAATATATAATATAATATTATCTTTTATCTAATTGCAATTATTAAAGTAATACCTAATATAAAATAAATCATTATTTGACACCAATCTAATTTTAAAGTATTTAATAATATTTATATTATTATAATAGTTTATGTTGATAATTAAAATATTGTATTACGATCTTATTTTTCTATTATTATCATACAATAAATAAGTTTGAGTATAATTTAAAATATTTGAATTATTAGAATATTTTATGGTGTTAAAGTACGTATTAAACAAAATGAAATATTAAATAAGATTTTTATGAAATGAATATTTGTTGAATAATAGGCTCCTTCAATTTCTATAAAATGTAATCTTGTATTCAATGTTATATTAAATATTTCAATAGTTAATGACAAAATCATACATATTATAGTTATTCCATCTATTGTTTATTTAGTAAAATTTTGAAATCCTACAAAAAAAATTGGAATAATGAGTAGATAATGATTAATAGACATTATATAATAGATTATTGAATTTGATTGAATTAGTTTTTTCATATAACAAATTGTTATTATTTTAATACTGACAAAAGAGATTATGATAAATGTAGCAATTACATATAGTGCAGATATTGAATTTGCTGGTAATAAGAAACTGATCCTGTATCGTTGTGCAATTTCTAAAATTAAGCTAAATATTGAATATTAATACTAATTAAAGTCAGGATTGTTTGAAAGTTCAATCTATTGTAATTCATGAAGAATGATAAAAAATTAGACTATTATAATTTAAAAAATGTGATCCTAATTTCTTTCAAACACTAAATCATTCAATGCTATTATATATTGTTTTGTAAATGCATGCAATTCCTTAAAGGTCTTTTAGAGTATTTTGACAATCATATTAATTAAAAAACTTTTTTATATTAAAATTGAAACACAAGTATTAATATTTCATTTAATCTATATTAATTATGAGTACAACAATTTATTAAATCCTTTCTATTAAATTAAAGCAGGTGGAAATAAAGTAGCAATCAATTTCAACTGATTTAATCTTTTATATTACATATTAATCCAAAAACCTGACACAAATGAAGTAAAAAGGAGAAATCTAAAAATAAATAACTATTTTTTTTACGCCACTGATGAAGTGATTAAATATATTAATATTTAATTAGATAATTTATTACTTAATATCTAGGTTTCAGTAAAAATATCTACAAAACAATAAAAAATACAAGTTTGTAATTCTATAAAGTATTGTAAGAATAAATGATCATGTATTGGTAATTTTAAAAAATAATCTGAATGATTCTAATCATACTCATAAAGTAAATATACTTGCTCATAATTGAATTCCTATTTAGATAATTTATTTAAATCTTAAATTATTCCATAAATGCCTTTATCTATTAAAGTTACATAATTTTCTTTTTCAAAATATTCCAATTTGATATTTTCAATATTACAAAAACTTAATATACTTGAATAATAAGTACAAAGATCATCATTATATATATTAATCAATTATTATTGAAATGTTTAATTATATGAATTTGTAATTACTAGTTCATTATTGATTTAATCTGAAAGTTTAAGTAAAACATCAATATTATTGAAAAAGAATTCAATATGATCAGTTTAATTAATATATTCAATTCCACTATTATTATTTATTAAATGTTCAGTCTTTATAACTTCCCCTACAATTACAGCTGAATCTAATCTTGATTTCAATTTCAGATATTTCATAGTAAGAATTAAACTACTTTAATATTGGCTATTATATAATTTAGAAACTAATTAAGAACCAAATATAAATAAAATAAGTTCAACTCCAATAACCAAAGATAATATTATTAATAAAGTATACTTTTCATTATAATTTTCTAATTTGCTTAATGTATTATACTTAGATTAATTAATTATGACTTTCTCACTCTATTTTTAACTAATAGGTTCATCTTTTCCTTAAAATTAAATCAATAATAAATTTGATATTTATTCTTTTTAAAAATGTAATATATCTAATTATTCTTATATTATTTTAACATTTAAATATTATAATAGTCTAATTAATTTGGTTTCTGTCCTTAATAATCTACAATTTACAATAAAAAATATTATCAAAAGAAATAATATAACTAATGAAAATTATACACAATATATAAATGTGCTATTTTCAAATTCTGAAAAAGATTCCTCTGTTGTTTATATCATCTCATCTAAAATAAAATTATGAAATTTAAATATTTTTAACATATTTTAACGAACTAATCCATTTGTTTTAAGTATATCTGGATCAAAAGTACTGATATTCTTAAAATCTGTCTTTTTATATTGTCTAACCAATGCTTCTCTCATTATAGTATAAAATTCATAATAATCCAAATAAGTTTCAATCTTCAAACCATTCTTATAACTAATTAAATCAATCTTATCAAAACCCAATTCAATACTTTTCTTACTTAAATTCATTGAATATTCTTCATGAACACTACCCCAAAAATCAAAAACATAAATTAATTAATTTTGTCTTCTATATTCTAAATATGGACTTATTAAATAAAGTTTATTTTAAATACAATATTGATTCCACATTAACATGAATGAAGCACCTATATTGAATGTCATAGCTTAAGGTGTATTTAAAAAATTGACATCCTCTTGATAATTAATCATATTATTATAATTCAATTGATAACTCACAACTAAAGCAATTGTAGTCATTACAATCATTAATGTAAGGATAAAAATATTATATTTTAATGGAGTATATAATTTTTTACTTTTAATTAGATTTGAAATGAATTCATAATCTGATTATAATCCTTCAAATTATTTATCATTAATAATTAAAGATTAATTTTAAATATTTTCTATTTAAGGAATTTAAGCTATTTTTTCTTATTAAAATTCTTCTATCTATTTAAATTTTAATACAAAATAATTTGTTTCTGATTCTATAAATTTTTATTATACAAATTCTAAAGAACCTTCAAAATCTATACTTTTTAATCTTGATGATGGTACTACTAATGCTTATATTTAGTTCATAATTTATTTTTACATAATCTTAATTTTCACATTTTTAATAATTGGCATTTCGTCTGTTAATTTATGTTATTTTGTAGAAATCAATCTTTTTGTAGATGAAGAATAAAATATTTTCTTAAATTATGATGATATAGTTCCTTCATCATTAACAAGTCCTAATGCTTAAGTTTATTCAAGACATTTTTTATGATTCACAGGAAATTACCATCTAGATGAAATATTCACTTCTTATTAAAATGTTCCTGAAGAATATTAGGTAGTCAATTCTTATATATGTGAATATATTTCTGGAAGATAATATTATATCATTCCTTATTGAATAAATTCTGAAACTATTAATTTCTTAGTAAAAGCATTATCAGACTTTGATATTAAAAATTCATAAATCTATTAAGATATTCCTAATATTTTTCCTTCAGAATCAAATATTGCAAAATGATTAGGTTAATTTTTAATTACCAATAAATTTTATAAGATAATATCATCTTAACTAATTGTTACATAAATGTACAAATTGCATTCTATCAAATATTCATTTTTATAAAAATATAAATTCAAAGGCTAATTAATATCTAATCCTTAATATAAATATTGACTAATAAAACTATTATACACAGTCTTTTAAAATTAAGGTAACAATTCAATAAGTTATTTTGGTTCTAATTGTCCACCTATTATTTAGAGTAATCTTTTATTATTTTTATTTATTATATTGTTTGAATCTTTTATAAAACTTGATGACAATAAAAAGACTTCATCTATCATAATTTTAAAATATATATTTACTCTTCTGAAATTTTGAATTCATTATTTTATCATAAGCAAGTAAGTCACTTTATCTCTTCTAAAGATCTTTAACCTATCATTAAATTTGTAGATTACTTAAAAATAATTACTGTAAAATATAAACAAAAATGAAGATACTATATTTATTGAAATCTAATCAGAATTCTTAAATTCTTATAATCTTCCTGTTTGTAAGTCATATTATTTTTCAAATATTTTCTTGTATTTTTCTAGTGTATTTAAAATCTTATTAAGTTAAACTCTAAATGTTTTAAGATATTAATCCAAAGCTTATTCTTTTGTCAATAAGATATAAAATTAACTTTTTAAATCTATAAAATTAATTAATAATTAAAAATTTTATTGCTCTAAAGCTAATGTTTTAATGTATAAATTAACATTTAAAGGAGATGTAATTAATTTCTCACAGGATTAAATTACATTTAATAAATTGGCTTCTAAAGTTAATTATTACAAATAACTTAAATTTGTTTTCTCAATATTTATTAAATTTAGATATAACTAAATTTTCTTATATTTGAAAACATGTTATAAAACAGTTAATTTATCTTGAATATTACCATTTTATAGTACTCTTTTTTAGTATTTTACGATATTTTATTCTTAAATTTCTGTAAAAAAATGAGAAAATGATTTAAAATTATTTATCAATTCTTAATTTCTAAAAATACTATATTTAAATATATTTATTTCATTATTTTTTGAAAATAATTCTTCTCCTAATTTTCTTTATCTTATTTATATTTAAATAGAAATAAATAAAATGTAAATCAATGCTAAATCATACCAATATTGATTTGTTAAAAGTATTAATATATATGATATTACAAAATTGGTTATTTATATATAGTACCAACTATTATATTAATAAGAATTAATCTTTTAAGTAATCATTATGAATTTTGAAAAAAGCATAAGAGCTGGAGCCACTTAATATTAATAATTATTTTGAACTACAAAACAAATTATAAATTGCATAATTAAATAAAATAAATTAGCCAGTCTTGATGAGTAACAGCCTTCAATTTCAACTAAACTGTTTTTAATATTACAAAAACAATAAATTAATTCTAAAAATAAACCTAATATTATTCCAATTATTGACAGTTCTATATAATTTAATGAATTTGCAAAATTAAATGAAATATTTAAAGTTGGCAGGAATATTATTGAGTGAAAAATATTTTGAAAATATTTGTAAAATTATCCTACTAGAATAAATTTCTCCTTCCTATCAAAATAAACTATTAGCACCACTAAAAAATATATTACTTCAGTTGAGAGCAACAAAAATAAAAATAGTTCATCTCTATCATATTTAATTAAATTTATTGAAAACTTTTATAAAAAAGACAATAATGAACCTTGTATTTACATAGAAGTGTAATTTTGAATATCAGTAGATGTGATTAATTATATTTCTTATAAGGCAGAAATTAACAAAAGGATTTTTGCAAATACTAGATTGAATAATGTTGGTTCAATTTTGTTTCTGATAATCATTTATTGCATCCGGACTAAACCATTAAATACTAATTTTCCTAATTTATCATTTATTTTCTTCTTTTTTAATGCTCTTCTCATAAATAACTCAATAAAAAATATTAATATTAAAGCAATTTAATAATTTAAGCAAGGAGACATGGTTTACATCTATAATTAATATCTTTATAAAAATATTTAAAGAAATAAGGGGGATTAAATGATAATAAATAATCAATAATAATAATATCATTCAAACATATCATTTTTCTTAAAATTCTAAATAATACTATCTTATTGATTTTCTTCATCTGAACATTTTTCAGAAATGTAACCTCCTTATTTCTTGACTTTTTTTTCACTTTAAGATAAATAAAGAGTTCCTAAGCTTTTATCAGATTTAATAGCAGGGAAATCTATTTTTTGAGTTTCACATATGACTTTCATAGGAAATCCATTACACATTTCATTGGGATCAATATAAAAATTAAGATTCCTTAACTAATTTTTATCTTCATTGTTTTGTTATTATTATTATTAATTTTGATATTCAGATCTCTTAGGTTGATGAACAATTATTTCTCCATCAACATTAGATTTANATAGTACCAACTATTATATTAATAAGAATTAATCTTTTAAGTAATCATTATGAATTTTGAAAAAAGCATAAGAGCTGGAGCCACTTAATATTAATAATTATTTTGAACTACAAAACAAATTATAAATTGCATAATTAAATAAAATAAATTAGCCAGTCTTGATGAGTAACAGCCTTCAATTTCAACTAAACTGTTTTTAATATTACAAAAACAATAAATTAATTCTAAAAATAAACCTAATATTATTCCAATTATTGACAGTTCTATATAATTTAATGAATTTGCAAAATTAAATGAAATATTTAAAGTTGGCAGGAATATTATTGAGTGAAAAATATTTTGAAAATATTTGTAAAATTATCCTACTAGAATAAATTTCTCCTTCCTATCAAAATAAACTATTAGCACCACTAAAAAATATATTACTTCAGTTGAGAGCAACAAAAATAAAAATAGTTCATCTCTATCATATTTAATTAAATTTATTGAAAACTTTTATAAAAAAGACAATAATGAACCTTGTATTTACATAGAAGTGTAATTTTGAATATCAGTAGATGTGATTAATTATATTTCTTATAAGGCAGAAATTAACAAAAGGATTTTTGCAAATACTAGATTGAATAATGTTGGTTCAATTTTGTTTCTGATAATCATTTATTGCATCCGGACTAAACCATTAAATACTAATTTTCCTAATTTATCATTTATTTTCTTCTTTTTTAATGCTCTTCTCATAAATAACTCAATAAAAAATATTAATATTAAAGCAATTTAATAATTTAAGCAAGGAGACATGGTTTACATCTATAATTAATATCTTTATAAAAATATTTAAAGAAATAAGGGGGATTAAATGATAATAAATAATCAATAATAATAATATCATTCAAACATATCATTTTTCTTAAAATTCTAAATAATACTATCTTATTGATTTTCTTCATCTGAACATTTTTCAGAAATGTAACCTCCTTATTTCTTGACTTTTTTTTCACTTTAAGATAAATAAAGAGTTCCTAAGCTTTTATCAGATTTAATAGCAGGGAAATCTATTTTTTGAGTTTCACATATGACTTTCATAGGAAATCCATTACACATTTCATTGGGATCAATATAAAAATTAAGATTCCTTAACTAATTTTTATCTTCATTGTTTTGTTATTATTATTATTAATTTTGATATTCAGATCTCTTAGGTTGATGAACAATTATTTCTCCATCAACATTAGATTTATTCTTTTTGAATGAATTAGTTTAAATAAAGGGATAAACTCTTTTTCTGATTTAACTCTTTCTTCTACCTTTATATCTTTCAATGAAAGTTTAATTTGCTCTATAAGCATTTTCATTAATTTCTAATTGTTTTAAGTTTTTCTCTTTTTACATATTTTTAATTCTTTTCTTAATTTTTCTTCTCTCAATAACTCTAAATACAGTTCATTAATACCCTCTCAAAATATCAGTAATAGAATTGATAGCAAAGATATCAATTGCAAATTATTGTGCTTTCTTTCCAATTAAATCTGGATATCTGGACTCCCATGATTTTCTTATTTAACGTAAAATGGTTTTGTCTTCTATTTATTCAATTCCATTAAGATCATTTTTCTTTTTAATTGCATTATAGGCTAATTGTATACATATATCTTTAAAATGAACCATTTAATTTTGATATATTTAAACTTGATAATCACTTAATTTTTGAAAGATTTCAGTTTTAAATAATCTCATTTTTTTCTTATGGTTATAGATATGAGATTTTTATTTTTGGTTTTCTAAATATTTTAATTTAATTTTTTACTTGCCGCAAATTCATAATATTATGAATTTTCATCTTTAAAACCTAAAGGTGGATTTAATTCAAACATTAGAAATGCAAAATCTTCTGGAGTGATCCAACCTGTACCTTATGGATCATAATCAGACCATTTAATTAAAAAATCTTCTAATTGATATGGATTTATAGCTGCTGTATTTTCTAATTGACATTCTTGATAGGATTCAATTATCATAGCTAAAAATAATGAAGTCATTATGATTCGGATTAAAACCAAATAACTTATAAAGAAAAAATAAGCAAATATTGTACTGCAACCTCTTGCTCCTTCTAATTCAAATTAATCTGGAGTTTATGCATGACATCCTTAAGTATCAATTGTATAATCTGCCATATACAATGACCAATATTAACCAGTAGAAATATCTATTAAGATTAAAATTCCATCTAAGAAATTTGAAAATGATTTTGTTCTCTAGTTTTCCTCCATTGTATATGGATATTGAGGATCTGATGAAGTACTCCATATTGTTGAAAATGCTTAAACACCTATAAGTGAGTATATTATTATAGTTATAGCTATAAATACAATAACACTTAATAAGGTAGGTATCAAATCTTAAATCACATCAATGAGAACTTTTAATTATTTATTAAATTTAAATAATTTATTAGCTCTTATAATTCTTAATGATCTTATAATAAAAGGAATAGTGTAAAGTCTAGGCAATTCAAAGTTATCTTTCATAATCAATAATACATCAGTAATTATCAAAACTATTAAATCAAATTTATTGAGAATATCTCTAAAAAAATGGACCCAATATGCAAGTAATTTGATGAATAATTCAATGTGGAATATTACAATAAAGAATATATTCATTCCATATAATGCCTCTTAGGTAGTAGTATTCTAGTTCCCACTATAAGATGAACAACTAGATATTAGAGAAATTAATACAAAATTAGATTTATTATTAGCAAAATTAAAATGATTGCCTCAAAATATTGATTGCTTGTTAAATGATAACATATTAATCTATACTTATTTTAAGGTTTTGGTATGAGATTGATAAGCTTTTTCTTTTACATAATTTACATCATTTGTATCCATTATCTTTAAAATTCATTCAATGATTAAAAATTGGCTATGTTCTCCTTAATTGTTCTATAATTGTTGATAATCAACCCTGTAATTAGATTAAGTAATACAATATTCAATGAAAATATTAATACATAAAAGAATAACTAATATTAAGAAGATGAATTAATTTTAGGATTAAATCCTCTATCTGTAATATCAGATACACTAAACATTTATTAAGTCCAACCCTCTCCAATAATTAATCTGAATAAACAAAGTAAAGAATCTTAAATTGTATCATAATTTGTTATATTATTTATCCATTAACCTCCTTTGTTTATACAATCTTATTAAGTGATAATCTCTTCAAATTCTTTCAAAGATACTTAAGAACAAAAATAAAGTTTGCCTTTCCAAATTGTCATACAAATAATACTTAAAATCCATAAACTTATGCCAGTTACAAAAATCATTGATGAAAGTAATGAAATAGTTTATAGTAAAGACCTGGATATTAAATTTAATTATTCATTTTATGATCCTCTCTATATATAAATCAAAATTAATTACTCGAAGTGTGATAAGAATTCTAAGAGTTCTTAAAGCTCTAAATGCTTTAAGATATTAGTTATTATAAATATTGAGATCATCAAGAGAACTTATAATAAGAATTACAAAATCTAATTGATTGTTGTTATTCTTTATATATGATTTTTGAGGTTCTAATTTATTCCAATAGAATCCTTGAGCTAATATTTTGAGTAATGAATCCAATATAAAAATACCAGTAAATATATAATTAAGTATATCAATATTTAAATTATCTTATCTTAGAGGTTTATCATATCCTAAAAGTATTAAATTGATTAATATAATAGAACTCATTCCCCAATCATAATATTTTTATTAAGTAATATAATGTAGTCTTTTTCTTAAATTAGATTTATTATGAAGAATAAAAAGTGAAGAATTTAAAAAGAATTATTTTAAATTTGATAATGTAAATGAGATAGGCATTATTATTTAGGAATCATCAGTACTTCTAAAAGTTTAAACTTAATAATATCTTGATTATGATCTTTTTAATCCTGGTTATGGTTTTGAGTTATCCTCTTCTTTTTCACTGTCATCTGATACCTTTGATAATCTTCCAAAAAAGCGTTTCTTTTCATTTTATAAATTGTTAACTTATAATAATGATGTTTCTTTTGTTGGTACAATTCTTGATTTATTTTACATTGTAGAAATAACTTTGGCTGCTTTGGCTTTTGATATATCAGCTTCATTTTTAGCATCCTCATAATTATCAAGCATTAAAGTTAATAATGAAGGTAGTATAAAAAATTTACATATAAATTAAACACAAATAAAAAAGATATATGGAATCCAAGATCCAGTTTCCAATGTTGTATAAAAAATGGTTTACCATTAATCTGAACATATTATTATAAATAATGAAGTAATTGTCTCTCTCATAGTATCAAAATTTGCTCTTGGAATGTAAGATCCATTTAAATCATACAATCCTAACTCATTAAATCTAAGTTTTCCAGCAAAAAAGTTTCTACCCATTAAACCTATAACTAATCCATATACTAATAATATTAATATCATTATAGGAATATTATTGAAGGAT